AAGAAAGAAAAAGACAACGAAGATACCTCAGACAAAATTCACTCTCAAACAGAAAATATGTAATTTACTTTTTTTTAGGTTAACTTTAATTATTTTAATCTCCTTGTACTTGTGTGCTTGCGTCCTTTGAAGGCATCTTATTCGCATTCAAACTGTAATCTTCATATTCGATAAATACCCCTTTTTGGGACTTTGTTTCAAGAGGTTTGTCCTTTATATAATCGTCTGATCCCTTTTTAATTGTTAGCGAGTAAACGCGCGAAACAACAACGCTACACAATTTACAATCAACTGCGTAAGTGTCGTGTTCATGACACGATATGAAATAATGTTGTTCAACGTGGGACAATCTGCAACAAGATTATCTTGTTTGAATTAATGTGTAATTCTACTAGTTTCCCACGAGTATATAGTTGGAGCGTTGGAGGAATGATAAATCATTATAAATTGCAGATATATTCAATATTTTAAAGTTGCACACTTAAGTTGTGGTTAAAACATTGATGTAATGTAATAGGCTAATAGCTATACAAGTGTGAAGAAAATCGATATAGAAATCCTAGTTTGTGTTTTTCAAGATTTTTATCTATCATATACTACCTAAACATCTCCTATTATAAATACACAATGCCGAGTACCTTTTTTGTGGTGGTTGATCATTACTTTACATCCTTATATCATTCTTTCAAGATCCAAGAACACATCCAAATCTTTAGTTTTATCTTTTGTTTCTTGAAATCAATCAACCACAAGTTTGAGAAAAACATCGAATTTCATATAATCCAAAACACCCACTTCCTAGGTATCATCAGGGAAGCACTTTCTTAATAGCTTTCAGATGTTGTGGAAGATTGAGAGAGGTTGAACCAGAAGCACATAATGAAGTACAAGAACGAGACGTTCTTGCGTGTTCCACAGGAGATAGGAAATTTTAGAAGATCGAGAGCTGATGTGAGTGAAGCTCGTTCTAGCGGGTCTTGCAGATTGTAGGAATTAAATCAACGAATCTAGTGGGTTTTCTAAGTTGGATCCTACTGTAAGTTCTTATTATCTATAGTAGAAATTACTGACTTGATTTCGGAGTTTATACCTAGTTAAGGGTTTTCTCCGTCATAAAATTGTGTTATTTACTGCTTTAATCATTTATTGAGGCAATTCAACATATGATAATTTGACTTGATTGACTAAACATGAAGAACAATTAAAAAGTGACTTGTTGCTTTTAATTGATAAATTTTAATTCCGCGTTATTCACTTATTAGGTGACTTTAAGATTGAACTAGTAACTTTCACGTAGCAAGAACATGATTGTTCTCTTTCTCTTGAAAACCCCTGTATTTCCTTTCCCTTTACCTTTCACAGTGGTGTCCCTCTTTTTGTTGTGTTAACTTTACCTTTTTGTGTTATCAAGTCACTTTACCCAGACGTTGCTACCATTATCGAGCTCATAACCAGTATTTGCCATCATCGTAGATTGTGTCATCTCAGTACCAGTTTTGCCATTATCAAGCACCTAAGTAGAACTCGTTACACTCTAATGAGATTCTACATTGCATCACTGTCGTTGTATCGTTCAAACTTTTTACCGTTTTATGGCTTTTTGTACTTTTTGGGTTTAAAGGTAAATTTCATCGGGTTGCCCGTGGCCCCCACACAATACAATAATGAAGCCAAGCACAAGTTCTACTGGTTGAAAATATTAGCTTAGTTTAAAGAAGTTTTAATGTACTATGATATTCATACAAGACCACATAACCTATAACAACCGGGACCAAGCTATAATTCAACTTGACAACATTTTAGCATAACATCCTGCGACAAAATCTTATGACATGGGGCCGGAATATCACAAAGACGCCTCGACTCAGCTTAACTCAAGGCACTAGCAAAACTTCAAGACACTATAGAAAAGATTTCCGGGAAAGCTAGCTTAGAACAACTTTCTCTAAAAGCTTTTCTGATCATAAAAAACACTTCAAAAACATTATCCAAACATAATAAAAAACAACTTATTAGTCTTAGAAGCAAATTTTTTTTTTTTTTGAGTCTTACCAAACGGACTCCAAGGGTAATACTAAAATGAAGAAAATGGTTTGCAAACATCATTATCATCTTCATATCATATGTTTTATCATTATCCGTTTTAAATTGGACGAGAAATGTAGCATCTTGTTTACACAGTATATATCGAAATGACAATAGAAGCCATGTTGAAATAGATAGTAGAAGCAATATTAACCATAAATAGGCTTATCATCACGCCAAATACTATATTTGCAAAGCTGTCTATGAAATTTAATATCCATTAAAAAACCACCAAAAATACATAATTTACTCGCACGAATTCATGATAACAATCTTCATAACCAGGAAATGCAAAGACAACTCAATTGAATTTAGGAAGAGAACATTATCTATCGATTCTCAAACGCGAAACTCCTTTTGTCAAGACCAATAACCAACAACACCAAATATTTGTATAGAGGATTCGCTGCAAAAAACATAACAGTCGATCACTTGCAATTGTAATAGAAAAATAAATGGATAAATGAAAACCTGGAAATTACTTACCTAAACAACTAGAGACCCTGATCAATAAGATAATCACCAATCTTCTCAACAACCATGTTGCACTGGCCTGGAGTCATAGGCTCATCATAGATGCCAATAATCAAGGCCTGGGTGGTCTTTTTCACAGTAACACCACCTGGTCCCTGAATTGAAACAACATATCAGGAAAAGGAACAGCCACTACGACAGCTTGTCAAGGACCACAGGTTCAGTGCTGTATTTACTACTCCAACTAAATGATTATGGTATCTGATCCACCCTATAGCCTTAGAAATAATTCCACTTTGAAATGAACTCTGATTAATGCAAACATATATGCCACGTACAATAGTGCGACTAGACAACACACATGCTATTAACTAAATGGTTAGGGACCTATAGGCTATTGCTTTCAGAATGAATCCATTCCGAAATAAACTTCTCTGATTAATGTCAATACATGCCTCGTACAAGAGTGTGACTTGTCAACACAAAGGCCATTAACCAGCTTTTTGTTTGCTTCTTTTTATGTTTTTAAAAGTTGTAGCCTTTCGCGAATGACATCATTTGCCTCTAATCCAATATAAATACTAATGACAAGAAGATCAATTACACCATAATGTGGTATACGCAACTTAAAGATATTTACCACCTTAACTCTCCGCATACCTAGTTTAAGCCTCTACTTATTTATGCTCCAGCAATTCTCTGTTCAAGAATCTTCTTAAAGCGTGAATCGCAATTGTAAAAGATTAATAGAAATAAACGTTTGTCGAGCCGATCGTTTGGCTTATAGATCTTCAAATTCCCACAAATGAATGAAATGTGGGTCCATGTAAATAATCGAGAGAAGTATGCTTCTTCTAATGACATTCTCGAAAGTATATGCTATACAATACTAAATCTGTGGCTATATACTATATACTACTATATCTTTGGCTAATGAAAATATATCCTTTTCTCCACAGCTGCTAATCCATTTTCCAGAAAAAAGGGAAACATGTACAAATGTATTCGTGGTTCTTCATATTAAGAATGCAAACAGATTAAGAAACAATACCTTCTTCCCTCGGATGACAGCCCCTGGTTCACCTTGAATCACCATGTATTTAGTGCCACCAAGGTACAATCCAGTAGGAGCAAGCAAACCGGGATTCTCAAAGTCATTCATGATTCCCGTTATCTCCTCTGGCTTGAACTATATGACAGCATTGATACAAAAAGATACAAAGGACTTCAGTCCACCCATAAATAGATCGCAATACACTAATCCCACAAAAAAAAAAAATAATAATAAATAAATAAATAATAATAATAATAATAATAAAATCAATTGTAATAGAAAATTATCATTCTTGAATTATCAGTGTCTTTCTACTGAATCAAAATTTTAATTGCTTATATTTTCGCATAAATTGATATCCATATATAACCTATATATATTATCAGCTTCTGTATTGCAATGATCAAATATTACCAAAAAATTTAGAATTCGTCAACAAATTCACCATATGAAACTCGGTACAACAAAAAAAGGATTTGACATCTCTGTTAAATAAATCAAGAGATTTCGCCAACATAAGCACATGATTAAGTAGTCCTTAGCTTGATTATTATCAATCAAAACTCAAAACACGATCAATAAATTTATATTAAAAAAAAAAACAATAACTGGATCAAACAAGCAAAAGTCAATAAGAATCATAAATAGAGTTCAACCCAATAAAGAAAGTGCAGAAAAACAACTGAGTATTAACAGATCTCCAAAATCAGACCATAAAAAGAAAAACCCAGAAAAAAATCAAATCCAAAAAAACAATCTTTCAGACCTGAGGGAAGTTGGCGCTCTGTGCCCAGACACTGCCGTCATGGCCTACGATGGCAGATGAGGTTAGGTGATTACCCTCAATATCGGCCATCAAGTGGTCATCTATATATGATTGCCACGACATGTTGGATTGAATTTTTGAAAATTTAGTTGAGGAAGAACAGTATTATTTACTGGATTTGATGTAAAATGGATAGAAAGATGCTGATAGCGTCAAAGCAACGTTATGGAATGGTGCGGTGATCCTTCCTACAATCCTCACTTTTTATGCTTGAATTCCACAGGATCTGGATACTGTGTAATCTCATTTTTGCCCTCTCAATTATTATTATTCTCTCAATTTTATTTTTTTTAAAAAAATTATTTGACCAAAAGTGAGTGGCAACTACACCTGTTTGATCTACTTTATCTTCATTTTTCTTTTTTCCTTTTTCTTTCCCGTACAATCTTTATGGGATGTCGAAAGCATCAATCACGCTCTTGCACAACGTGAGAGCTGGCGGGAGTTTGTGCTGCCAGTCCAGTTGCTGATTTGGTTCCTCACTTCAAAGGAGATGATTGCAGAGGAATTCTTGNCACAACGTGCGAGCTGGCGGGTGTTTGTGCTGCCAGTCCATTTGCTGATTTGGTTCCTCACTTCAAAGGAGATGATTGCAGAGGAATTCTTGCTACGAATTGCCTACAGATGAAATGGAGAAATGTCATCTTTTCGAAACCTACAATTCACCCATATTGGGCGTGACGCTAATGTCGTAAACATGGAATGTCTAATTTTGAGGCAAGTTTATAAGTCGATAGACCTCAACTTTATTGTAAGCCCTTTGACGGTCTATATAAATGAATAAAACTTCTAAATATTGCCTTTAAAAAAGTACGATCTTTTTAAACTCTTCAAAATATTATGTTTATATTTATACTACAAATATGAAAGAAATATATTTAAGAATGTGAGGACAAGTTGCAGATAAATTTTTATTTAGTATATGTTTGACACTCATTATTTTATTTTATGATTTGCCATGCGATAATTTTTAACCATGCATTTATATTATAAAATATTCTACACGTATATCAAAAAAATTTCTACTTTTTAATTGCATATCCTCTTGGAAATACTATTCAAAACTCAATTTTTCTCAATTAATGAGAATAAAACAGGCTCTTACTCTACATGGATGTCATTCGAACAATTTGTAATATAGTGAATTTAGTTAGCCTGCTAAATGTCATTCGATAGAGGACTTAATGGTCAAAAAGACTTCGAAGTTTTTTACTTTTTTAAATGAATTGCTTAATTAAGTCGACTACCTTGTATATATACGTTGAATAATTAGATTAAGCTTGATATTGACATTGATGTTGATGTATTTACATTACTTTTGATTGTTTTATCCTGTTTATTACAACATGGTCCATATTTCCAATTAAAAATACAAGAATTACAATTAATATTGTTATGTGCGCACGCGTGTGTGTATATATAGTATGCTTGTAAAAAAGACAAGACAAAAAGAACTTACATGTAATACCAAATTAACATATAATTTTAACCAGATTTTTTCCCTGTGTACAGAATAGCCTTCACAGAAATCTCACATAGGGGGTGGGCAGCCATGTGAATATTTTATTTCAAAAAAAAAAAAAA